TGATAGTCATTATATATTTATATTGAAATCGAAAATATTTTATTTATTACAGAAAACTATTATTTAATAATGAAATATTGTTGAAAATGATTGAAGCTGTACGGTATTCATTTATTACCATACTATATATTTTTCTTTTATAATCTGAAAAAAAAATGCGAATAGAATTTTTTTTTTTATAAAGATTTTACCCATCTTGTTTCCATTGTTATTTTTCGGAGATGACAAAAAAAGACAGAGAGAAAAAAAAAGTTCCATGATATAAGACAGAAAGAAATAGATGTAGAAAAATAGCCATAATATTTCTATAGAATAAAGCAACAAGATATTGAAGTCTGATGTAGCATCTGACATAAATCTTAAGGAATGTACGTAGTACTGTCGTACAATGAACGAAAAGTTTGATAAAACAAACTAAAATTTTCACAATGAAAATTTTCATTTCCTGTATAGATAGTAGATGAACATCGAGGTATACGTTAATCTAAATGAACAATAGATGTTAACCACGAACAAACAATCAATATGAAATATTACACAGACAAAAAAACAAAAATAAAAATTTTCATAGGCAAAATTTCAATTGTTACGAGAACTTTTAGTTTCTTATATTATAGTACAAATCAAGAAGGAAACAAAACAAAGAACATTTTGACAAATAAAAGGCATAGAAAGTTCGCAATAGAAACAAGAAATGAAAATACATAAAATTTTGTAAGATGTATGTATGCAAATTATATAACCGGTGTGAAAAACATACTTGTTTTTCAAATTCAATTAAGTAATTACATAAAAAAGAAAAGAGTTTGATTTATATATTTAAAAAGAACAAGCAAGAATTTTTTTTGTTAACGAAAGACTACTAGTAATGATGATAATGAATAGATGTAACACATAAGAAAAACCAAACAAAAAACAAAAACAAAAAAAAGAAATCATAAATCAATCTGTCGGATATCGAACTTTATCAAACCAACTATTGAGCGTCGTACGTGCTTGTTTGATAAAACCTGGTAAGCAATATTCATTTGGTAATGCTTGTTTTACATTTTCTTCAAAATAAGAAAAAAATGGAAACCATATTCTCATTCGATTTTTATCTCGTTGGAAATATGTTCGATTATTAGCAAGACTAAATAAATAATTCTCTTTTATTTTACTTCTTGTTAAAAAATAAATCTTACGTATGATAATAAATAAATAAACGAGAACTAAGTACCCATGCAACAAGAATATCAATTGAATAATGTTGATGACCAGCCAAAATAAAAAACATACCAGTTAATGCCATTATCCAACTGAGAAAATGAAGTAGACGATATGAACGTGGTGAATCTTTAAAAAAAAGAAAATTTTAATTCTTTACATTTTCTTTTTAATTTCAAATATATTACATATTGTAAATTTATATCGATTCTAGAACTTTGAAAATGTATTCAAATAGGAAATGACAGTTCCGATTCGGAATCATTCATTCTTATTTTTCATATCCTTATCATCTCTTTCAATTCAAATATTCTGAATTTCCTTCTAATCTCCGTATTTAAAATCCTATTAATATAGAAATTTATTGTGCAATTAAAATAATTGAATTTCATTAAAATTTTTAATAAAATATTGAATCTCTTGTTTTGAATATTTGAAAAATTCAATATCAAAAATTATTGTTTATCTATTTGTTTAATGATCAAGGAAAATTTTGTTTTTTTTTTATTTGAAAATACATACATTCGTTGATAAAATGTGTAGCAAGTATAAGTGTACATGTATGACCACTATATAAATAATCACCACAGGTTTTAACACCAAATGATGACATTCCCTGACCAAGAAAAATTAAATTGGCTTTTTTTAAACGAGCACCAAAACTACTGAATCTCTATTTATGAAAAAATACAAAATATGACAAAAAAAATATACATATATATATAAATCTTTCAATATTTCAAACCTCAGGTCGACAATCAGTGATTTCTGTAGCAACTGGTAATGATGTAAAAACTAGTGTAAGACTTCGAAGAAAATATAATGCAGCTGCTATTGCAAATAAACGACGAAGTATGATCAGCCTAAAATATAAAGAAAAAAAACAAAATTCTTGTTTTGTTTTTGTTTTCTCTTTCTTATTTAAATTCAATTATCAAACATTAATATTTATGTAAGTATTTGTTATTAAACCGCACCAAAACTAAAGTCAGTATCCTAGTGTCTTATTATTGTTGTATTTGTTGAACTCAATTACTTACCATTAATTATAATATCATACTACTATAATTTAAATAATCTTATAGATAAATGAAAAATATATATTTTAAGATAAATATGTATATATTTACCTATGTCGATGAAGAATAATAATTGTTATAAGTGTAGCCATTTCAATAACAATAATTTTTTCTGTAACAGCAAATGCCCATGGTATTTGTTTAACATTATCAAGTACAAGATCGGGTAATGGTGGAAAATTTCTTGGATCTGGCAAACGTTCATCAACAATAGTTATCATAAATGAACAAAAATATAAAGTACAAAAAGCAAGAAGAAATGCTGATAAAGTCTTTTTTCTATCAGAACGCATTGAACTAACAAAACAACAACCAGCTATTGGTTGATCTTCAATTTGATCAGATGGTGTATGATGTAAATTTAATAATGTATTCGTTGTACGTTGTGGTGTTGTTGTTGTTGTTGTTGTTGTTGCTGTTGTTGTTGTTGATGATGTTAGTGGAAGAAGATTAACAGATGTATTTGATGTTGATACACTACGAGAAGTTCTTCGTTGATATTGTTGATGATTTTTTGTACGTGTTATAGTTGAAGGTGAACGTTCAAGAATCATTGCTGATGGTGTTACTGTTTGAGTTTGATTTGTTGATAATGGGACAGAAAGATTTTGTTGTTGTTGTTGTTGTTGTTGTTGATTTTGATTTTGATTGATTTGTATTGTTGTATGTGTTACTGATGGTGTTGTTGTTGATGATGATGATGAAAATGATGTTTGGGATTGTGTTGATGGCATTGGCGATGATGAAAATTGTAATGGAGGTGATGTTGGTCGAATTTGTATTACTGGTTGAACAGGTCGTAATGATATAGATGTTTGTAATGATGATGAAGCTAAATGAGGTGATGGTGTAAGTGGTAGAGATTGTGATTGTTGTTGTATTGATTGTCTTTGTGTCCATAAATGATAATTACTTGAATAAAATTGTTGTAATTTTTTAATTTGTAACCATAATTCATGATTTTTATTTGTACCTTTTAATTGTAAAACATCATCTTCGTTTAAATTCATTAAACGTTGTCCATTCATACGATGTTGATGACAAATTAAATCAATACAATCATTTAAATCATGCTCTATAAGCCATTCTTCAACTTGTTTTATTGACCATGTACATGGATTTGATGGTATTAATGATGATGTTAAATATGATGATGGAGGTGAAGAATGTAAAGTATTGGATGGTATTATATTATTTGTTAATTGATGGGAATTAACAGATGGTGTTGAAATGAGCATGATTTTAGATGATATTTTGTTTCTAAATAAAAATGATAAGATTCGTTTTATATAGATCATTATGATTGAAATAGTTAATCATATGATTGAGCTATATAGAAATAGAATAAGACTATGATTAAATATGAAAGAGCAGAAAAATCTACACAATACGTCTCATTTATCTTCTGTCAAATTATATGGAAAGAAAAAATGCCAATGTTTGATTAAAATGTCACAAAAAAAAAACCTAGGGACTGAGAGAAACAGAGAGAAAGATCTCATAAATTGATGATGGATGATACTGAAATTCATTAATAAAAATCATATTTAATTTCTTACGGAATATTTGTTTTTTTTTTTGTGAAATTTTTGAGGTAAATAATTGTCACGAGAGGAAAAAATTATCTACATAGATTTTTTCTTATTTATGTAGTTGAATTTTAACTACATTGGACATGCAATGAGTTTTGGATAGAGTAGAACGAGTAATTGATGTTGACACTTGTTCTTGCATTAAATGGTAAAGCTTCAATGCTTATACGCGTGCGTTTTTCTTTTGTGCTTAACCTATGCTATAACTCGCTCTCTTCTTTGCTGTTTTGTTACCTTTTTCTACATAGATTATTTAACTCCGACAGTCGATGTGACAATGTCATCGATATTAATCAACTTGATCGAAAGAGATGACGAGAGCTTCAATTTCTACACTGATTAATGATAAAAAAAAAAAAGAAAGAAAATCTGACAAGAAAAAAAAAATTACTAATATTCTTTCTACACATAGATTAACATTGTCTTACAAAAATTAAACAATCGAAAAAAAAAAACATAATTTATTATTCAGTAATACATGTCATGTTTTCTAATACCTGATAATAAAATAGACATGGACTGAAAATATTTTATTTCTATTCGAAAAGAAAGTCAATATAAGTCAATCTATTACTAAATAAAGTGTGGCCAGTATTTACAAACCGACCTTCGACTCTATCTCAAATGACAAATAAAGGTACTCGTTTTAAAAGAAAAAAAAAAGCACGCATCTTGATTTACTTATCTTTCTTCTTCTTCTTTTTTTTCTCCTATTTGACATACCGTGTCTTTTATCAGATTGTTATTTTAACGTCGTCATTTGACGATTATCTAAAAAACAGAATATATTATCTATTTAAATTCAAGAAAAAAAAAAAAAAAAAGATGAAACATATAACTGCACTGATACGGAAGAAAAAATAATATTGCACTTAAAAGAAAACAAAAAAAAAAGATTGTAAAACAAATTAAGCGTTCAATATTATTTAATAACAAATTTTCATTTATCTTTTTAATATATAAATATTTCAAAAGACAAAAAAAAAAAATAAATAAATAAACTTCAAGTTCATTATTTCTTTATGTTTATGAGAAAATTTAATTAAAGGATGTTTTGTCGTCATCATTATTATTTTCAACATGTATATAGATGAATGTTAATAGCCATGGTACACGCAATATATTAAGTATCATAGATTGAAAACCATATTGATAAACAATTATCTGATTTTGAATGTAAAATAGCATTATTAGTTAATGAATGATAATATAGAAATAAACGACTTGTTAAAAAAATAACTATAATAAATACATCAATGGTATAATATTGAATTAATATCATACTAAATATTTTACAGAACCATGAAAATAGATGTATAACATAAAAATTAGATGTTGTATTTAAAGATTTACATATATATATTGCTTGTCTTTTTTTTTTTTTACATTCTGTAATACAATGATTTAATAATGTTAATATAACTGTATGACTAGAAAATATACAATCACCATATGAAAGTACACCTTGAAATAATAATCCTTGAAAAAGAAATATTTGTATACAACGAGATAAAATTTCTTCGGAAGTACCATATTTCTAAAACAACAAAAAAAAAATATTATAATATTCAAAATTTATTTAAACGAATATTTATTTTACCAATGGAGTACAATCAAGATGATGACCGAGCACCTAAAATATTAAATACTTCTTGAATTGTATTATCACTGCGATTAAATATTTAACAAAAAAAAAAAGAATTCTACTTGAATAATAGATAAGTATGGTATTAGATTAATGTCTTAAATATACATATGTAAATGAAACAATGAAAAAAATCTGAAGAATATTTATACAGTATGAATATAGAATTTAGTAATAAATTTTTGAACAAATTCGAAATAAAGAAGCTTTTTATAGTCTTCATAAAAAGAAAACGTCATTACTAAGTTTATCGAGATACTATAAATTATTTTGTTAGTCATAAAGTTGAATATGATAAGTCGATTTAAGTAACATGACCTTTCTTTTTTTGATAAGTAACTTTACATTTATTCATATTCAAACATATGAACATATGTTCATTTATTATATAAACTAATAATATTTAATTCAGTTTATTTTTCATTATATAAAATATAAATTAATTTGTTAAAAGAGTTTCATCAAACAGAATATTTAATCTTTGGTAAGCTTACATTCTTCTGACGTCAATGAACAATACTAAACATCAATTTCTTCAATATTTATTTGCTCACGAAACAATTCAATATATACAAGTGTGTCTGAGATCGATGGAGTTTGAAAAGAGAAAAGATTGATTAGAGGATTTAAGTTAAAGCTAGTAAAAAAAAAAGCAAACATTTTTCAAGATTAAAGGATATTTTCAACTAATATGATTAAAAACTTTGACAAACTCTTTCATGTCATATTTAATTACACTTAAAGATGTAACTAACATATAGTTATTGATCGTAGAAAACATATTGTTCCACGGAGTGCAAAAAAATCTTCATTCCTAATATAAACACAATAAACAAAGTTATTTAAACCAAAAAAACAAAATCAATAGATCTTTTTATTCTGTATTTACCAATATTTATGAAATAGTAAAATCAATAAAAAGTTGTTATTTTTTTTTTTGTGACCACTATTTAAAAATCATACATACATAGTGAAAATACTGAAATTTTCCTTCATTGCCTTCTACATGATACGTTCTATCCAGCTCAATTTTTTAATGAGTACTTTGATGAAATGGGCGTCGATATTTTGTTTTCTTTTTGCTACAACATGTTATTCCTATAAAATTTAGCAGCTGTTAAAAGAATAATACCATTGAAAGAAAAAACAAGTTTTTTTTGACAGTACTTTCAGTATTTTACTTCTAGAAATGATATTTTTGAAAAGAAAAAAAAAATACCAAGCAGCTTGATTTGATCCTAGTTATTATAATTAAACTTGAAGCTCGAAAAAATGAAGCATAGAGTTTTACGGAAGAAAAGACAGAACTTCTGGTCAGTTTTTTACTTTAAAAAGCATTGAGAATTTTTGAATCTATGATAAATTTTACTTTATTTATTGAAATCTATCTGTCTTAAAAAGTCTTTATCGAACGATTTTTAAGAAATATTTAGGTAGATTTACTCTTAAATTACTTACAAATATGTGGAATATAATCAAGAAAATAGATCTGGATATTTTAAATAAATTTAATTAATGTTAAATATGAGAATTTATATTTAACTTTTGTACATTGGGTACACGATTATGTACAACAATCATAATAAATGATGTCCATATTCCACTAATTAATGTATAAATAAAACTGATTAATAAATGTTCTTTTTTCATCTTTTGATTTATTAGAAATAGACATTTGTTGACTATTTATTTGACATGAACTATATATATTATGTATATTTGATTCAAGTAAATATGTTAATAATAATGATGAATGATTATATTTGATAGAATTATTCACAAAAAATTTTGTTGTTTTAAGGATTTAAATAAATAAATTTGTTTATGATTTTTATTTAGTAAACATGATGTAGAAATATTTAATGATGAATAAAAATCATTATATATATGTATATTGATACCATAATTTTTTAATATAAACGTTTAATAAATAATGATGCTTGTTTAAGATCATTTTCATTCATAGGAAGTAATATTAAACTATCGATATCATTTTATTTACAAAATTTGATAAATTAAGTGAATAAAATCATTGTTCAACATCATTTATTGTCCAAAATATAATTGATGATTTTATTAAATTCTTAATTAAATACAAAAACAAAAGTAAATACATAGAATCATCAAAAAAAATAAATAAAAACAATACATACAATATAAGAATTATGAAATTCTTATTGTTTAGCAAGTTACTATTTGGCATTATACATTGATTTATTCATAGAATTTTGTTTTCTTTTTTTTTTTTCAAAAAATAAAGAAATATATCGAAACATATTTCTTTAATAGATAAAATAATTAACAGATGCGGACCGAAAATTCTTCTCGATAACGGTTGATTGACATCGTCATATTCTACGTCATCATTTTTGTTTACCATTCCTTCTTGTCTTATTATTTTACACAAGAATAATTGATGAGAACTATATAGGGATAGTTCTCGATAGATGTCATATAAAACCAATCACGAGAGTTCCATTTCTATATACGTAATTCTTTCGTTTGAGATATGACCCTTGCTAATAGTATACATATGTAGTAACACGAACAATAACTATTAGCCTGTACTGTAAATAATTTATAAAACGTTACATTGATAAAGAGATTTATAAGTGCTATTTGTTGTATTAAGTTTCATGTTCATTTATTCTAGATCTTAATTAAAAAAGAAAAACAAAAGAAAACCAGAAGTTTCGAGAAAAAGTAAATGATATATCTAACTATCTAAACAATGTTTCATGAAAAAAATAATAAAATTGTGATTATAGCAGAAAAAAATTCATCGATTTCACTATTTAGAATTTAATCAAATTTTTAATATGAATTTTATCAAGATGATCATCATTTACATCAAAGAAAATATAATACTTTCTGAAAAAATCATTAAAATCATGCAACATAGATTTCTACCTTATATAGATAATATCATATATGTGAAGTACATTGAAACAATGTTCAACATATTGTACATGTATATATATATCTGAATTATCCATTATGTAATCACCAAAGATCAATTGTTAGAATTCATCTTATTTCTATTAGAAGAAGTGTATAATATTAATTTAAATATTTGTATAAGAATTTTTGTATTTTACTACAATTACTATAACTTTTGATGGTTTCTGTCAAAATAAACTTGAAATAGTTCGAAATAAATCGTTGAAATCGAATATATAAAGCACTAAAAGATCTTAGTGCTATTAAAATTTAGTAGCATATTCGATTGATTATTTCATTGTTTGTTAGAATCAAAAAAACATACTGAAATAAATCACATAAATTGTTTTTCTTGCTAATGACATTTAACATCATAATAGTTTGACAAATATATAAACAAATATAATTGCTTATGCTTCAACCATGATTAGTTCTAATATATAATTCTCTATTGGACATCCACATTAAATAAGAATAATTTTCTTAATATATTTATTGTTTTGTTGTTGATATTGTGTTTCTATCAGTATGAATGTTTGTTTTATAAGTGTTATGTGAATATTGATCTTGACTACGAAAGAAAAAGAAAAATCTATACAACTTTCATTTTTCAATAGTATCATAAAATTATTCATCTTCTCCTTTCAACAAGTATTTAATGATACTATTGTATTGCAATTCACTATCAATACGTTTATTTCTACATAGAAATTTCTCTTCTTCACGCGAATAAAGATTTCTCCAAGGGCAAAAATGCTGATCAATTTCAGCTGTATAGCACTTTCTATGCTTATGGAATTCATTGTGGAACAAATGAATATTCTCCGCTCTCTAAGCAATGAAGTCTGTAGAATCCAATATCTCTCTGATCGTTTGAATCTTAAACAAAAAACCGTGAGCAGCCATGTCTCATATGTTTGTTTGCCCTACTGAAATTGTCAATGACTTCAACACTCGTTCTTGCCATTAGTACATACAGATGTTTATATATTTAATACAAATTCAAAAAAAAGATGATATCAATAATGAGATAAAATATTTCAACAACTCATATATACCATTTCGATAATTCCAACATTCATTGAATATATTTTGATGTTGAATTTTCATGGTCATTGTACTACTAGTTGTTCTATTATTGATTAAAGTTTTTCATGATATATTATTACAAATATTTTGAAATAAATAAGTAAAGAATATTTTTTTCTGACCGAATAAATCAAAGCTTTTTTTTTCCTCATGAAAAAAAAATATAATTACTTTTATTGCAAGCAAATATTTGCACAAAGATTAATCGCATTTGTTAATTCAGCTGTATTCATTTTATCCTAATATTTCTTCCAAAAAAATAAGTGAAATTATAATGACGTTCTTAAAAATAGTTTTCTTTTTTTATTATTCTTTTAGAGCAATAACTGCATTGTTTCAAGTTAGAAGAACATACACGAATATATGATTTTACAGAATCTAGATATTTCAATTAGTAAATACATGTTTTGTTCATCTTTGCACTTTGAAAACAGGTAATATATTTAATTTAGTTTTTACAAATGAATACTTTTTTTTCAAGTAAAAATCAACCTACCATTCCTTCTATTGATAATAATGTTAGTCGTCGAGTTGTCTCAGAATTTAATATTCACATTTAATAAACATAGGACATCAATTTTTTTCGTGATACGGTGCAATATTTAACAGTTAAAAGTACTACGAAATATTTAATCCGTGATTACGAATCATCACAGTGAAAAAAATTATTTAGGTTATGAATATTAGAAGAGAAAATAAAGATTTTCTAGTATGAAACATCTATTTAAAAGATTTTTTATTCTGTACTTGGAAAACATCACGCATTAACGATGGAATCCGTACTAACAGTATACTTTGCATAGTAATTTTGATATTGTTGTTGTTGTTTTGATTTTCTGTTTGACATAATGTATTGAAATACTATTCCATATGGAACCAATAATGCGAATGTCAATCAAATCTAATTGATGTCTCGAATTTTACTAATTTTAGATTACAATTTTTCAAAATAATATTTTTTTTGTAATAATACTCTGTTTTATCGATACTTATGGAAGATTTTGGAATAAGTTTTTTGGTAAAATCAAAGATCGATAAAGAAATAAGTGCTTTATTTCACATAATCTAGAATACGTCTATTAAATTTTTCTACATAAAGATCCAAAAATTGAGAAAAATGTTTCTAGATATATGAATTTCATACAAAAAAAAAATAGATTGTGAGTTAATGAAGAGTTCTTATTTAGTTATTTGTTTGTTTTTGTCATGTAAGATTTAATATTTAATAAAATGTTCACATAATGAAAATAAAAATTTTTTTATTCAATTTACTTTTAATTATGAATAGTGAAAAATAGTACTTGACAAATGTTTTTTTTTCCAACTATAAAAGTAGTTAAACATCCTTTCATAATAACTTACAATAATATACAACTAGAACATAATGAAAACAATGAGTAATAAATATTACTCAAATAATCAGCACAGATATACTTTCTTAATTTTAATGAAATAATAATAATATTTTAACACATTGAATTGATATAATGTTGCAATAGATAGAAATTTGAAATGAAGAATAATAATTTTTCACTATAATGATACTGCATTGAAAGAACACTAAGTACTTTCTAGTAATCTATTATTATTTTCTGATACTTTTGATGATGTTATTCTTCTCAAAGTTAAATCATGCTGAATTAATACATTTCAAACTCTGAAATATAAAAGTAACTTATACACGAAAAAAATACTCTAAAGCTTGAATTTCACAGTATCAACTATGCTAAATATAAGTAAGAGAGTTTAACAATAAACAAACATTTATAATCTTATCGCTCTAATTTGTACAACTATTTTTTAATTAAAAAACATCACAATATGAAGTCATATTTTCAAAAATAACTTGAATTTAACTTATACAATTAAAATAAAGTAGAATGCTGTGCCTTAGTCTACAAGTGAAACATAAATGAATAAAAATAAGTATATGAATAGGTATTGAAAAAGATTCACTGACTAGTACTATATTTATTTTCTATAATGGCGAAGAAAATATTTAATAATGATCATATTCAATAGAAAATGTTACATGAGAGTAAAAGTCATTGCCTTTATTTGCCAATTTACTATTAAAATACGTTCCATATGGATCAACTAGATCGGTTGAAGAATTCCAATGGAATAAATATATACAGTCGTGGACAAAAGTCCCGCTATCAGGCAAAAAACATTGAAACAAGGGCTGCTTGTTTTGAAACTTCTGCCATAAGAAGAACTTAATGAGTCCTGATCGCAGGCAAAAGCTTGAGCTCTACAACTTTACTCAGACTGAAATCTGAGGCTAACATTGACGATATTTTCCTATTGTATTATCTCGAGCCAGGAAGAAGATATAACATTGTTCGACCCACCATTAGAAAGCCCGACTCTTCCTCTTTCCACACTAAAATTTTCATGATTAATGGACATGATTTTGCTAAGTTATGAATTAATCTCTGTCTACCCATGGAACTAACGTATCACAACTTCACCAGTTTTTGACTTGAAAATTATATCACAAACTGTCTACTTATGGCCTAGTCCACTTAAAGTTTCAGAATTATAGCTGCTACAGAAGTAGAGATTCACATCATTCTATATCTGAAGACCGATAGCCCTGTAAAATCACTATAGTATAG